AGAAATTGATTTATTATGCAGGAAAAGGAGATTAGCGTTGAGAAAGGCGTCGTTCTGTCCACGGGACATTCTCATCCTGGTCCAAAGATTGGAGATGATGAGCCTGTTGTTAGCTCTGGAAGTCCTGGCCAACATAACTAAACTATAGTCTACATGTAATTGCAATTATTAAATCATAATGAATGTGTTTTTGTATTTTAAACAGATACTAGTAATTAAGTAGTTGTTTAGATTAATCATTACATAATACACACAGACATCTTATTACATTTCTTAGAATAAGTTCCTCTCAACCCACAAGTGACAACCACGAGATGCAAAACCAGCTTTAAGATAATAATAATTTTTACATTTTTCCTCGTGTCATTGCTTTAGATTAGCAATATAATAATGAAATAAAAATTGAACTACCGATAGTTGGTAATACTAAAAGAATTAAATAGTGATAACTAAAAAAGTGGTAAACGGAAAGTTTTGTCATGGTAAATAATACTACTACATATTGAAACACATTTTTTAATCGTTGAAATTTGTTTTATCTTTTAGCATTATCTTAAAAAAAAAAACCAAATTCGTTTATTTGAGCAGTTTAAATGTTGTTATGATGTAGATATGTTAGAAAATTCAGCGAAGGAGTTATCCACGACTACACTCAAATTAGAGATTTTTAGTCGGAATATGGAAACGCAAGTGAGCCAAAATATGTAGTGCAAAAAAATAAAAGATACAAGAGAATTTTTTGTGAGATTTGTTTTCTTCTCCCCGGGACCACGTCTATAAATTAAATCCACTAGAACCAGAAAACAAATACAATTTATTCGCAAACGCATAAATCAAATACAACTTCTTAATTTACCGCTCTGTTCAATAACATGGATTCTTCAGGATAACATAATCCTGAGTTAAACTCCTCCTGAACCTAAACTTGAGTTTTGTGGAACCTGCACACACCAACATGCACGGTTGGCAACGGCACGCAGCCAACGGCACACAACCACGAGAAACCTTCTCACCAACTCACTTGAT